AAAAAATCTCATGGCTATAATACATTGCCACTTTTTTCCTGCTACATAATGGTGTTTTCAGATTTGCTATCCGACGTTTCGTCTTCTGGCCACCATCATCAACTTTATTTTTTCTTATAAGCTCTACATTGGATTATTTCTGTTTTGAATAGAACCAAATTTTACCTTTTCAATGATGTATCATAAGTTATCATTCTTTTTCGAAAAATTGGAGATACTTGAAAAAAATGTATTCTTACCATAATAGGCTTTGACTTTGATGTTTTTAAATTTGACTTTCAATTTTTGGCGAAAAATGGCTTTCACGAGTGAAGAAAAACGAGATATGATACAAATTTATTACAAATACGATAGAAACAGTGTTTAGGACATTGGAAATGTGTTTAAAGTTTTATCCCGAAAGACGACAACCACATCGAACAACCACATCGAACTATGTTCAGATTATTGTATCAAAATCTCACCGCGTTTGGTTCATTTGAAAAGCTGAGAAAAAAATACGGATATACTCGAAATTTCAGAACTTTCTCAACGGCATATTGTTAGTCAGGTAAATGCGCAACTTTGCTCCAATTTAACCATCTCCGTATCTCTCATAGTTTCCAAGATCCCAATATTGAGAATCGAATTCAAAACACCCTTGATTTATTTCAGTGAATTGAATATTATCGTCAACTATCAGCTGTAAATTCTGGTTAGATTGAATTCAGATATATTTAACCAAATTACATAACTGTTTAATGAAATACGCCTTTAATTCACAAAAGTTCAATATACAACTTTTTCGTCGCTTGTGTTTTCTTCATATCAAGCTTCGTTTTTGAAAAAAATATTCTAAAAAGTATCCATGGACAACATATAAAAGACCAAAAGTAAATAAAAAACAAATTCGACCTTGGAGTAAACAAGCAAAATGTCCACCTTCTGATAAAATACACGACTGCAATCGATTTGTCATTGATTGTCTGGCACGTTCAAAAATACTTGGTATTCTTGGCCTTATGACATTGCAATTGTCAATTATTCGATTCCTCTCAAGTCATCCACATCTAGTACAGGAGTTTTATAAACGAGAGCCTTCGGATGACCCCATAAATATAAATCTAGAGGATTCATATCAGGACTGCGAGCTGGCCAATTTTGAAGTCATGTAGTCCAATCCAGCGATTAGGGTAGGTGATGTCAAGATGCTAATGAGTAAGAATACTAAAATGAGCTAGAGCCCCGTCTTCTAACAAAATGTGTAAATGATCTCGCAAAATGTCCGTGTGAAAGTTCATAATAGCACCTCGTGAAAAATTTGCTTCGACCGTAAATAAAATATTTGGTAAAACATTATTATTGTATGCCATCGTATGAATCAACTACCCGGAAAAGAATAATCTTGGGCGAAAATCCCGAGGCAGTATAGCTTGGAATCGCTGTATGTGATATGGGTATAGGAGGTTTCCTTTTAGAACTGTCCATACGGTTTTTGGGCTGACTTCCAGCTGCAGGGCAATCTTCCTGGTACTTGAAGGATCTTCTTGTATCGCATCAAGTTTAGGTTCTCTAGTTCAGGCGTTGTTACAGTTTCTGATTCTCCACCAGCTCCATTTTCAGTAAAACTCCCA